TATATAGTCGAGCGAATAGACAAGAATGACACCCAGTCTTGCAACTGGAAACACACTCCGACACCTAATGTATATAATACATATAATAGACTCGTAATACTTACCATACATACAACACATAAACATTAAACAGAATACATACAAAACACACATTAAATACACTTACTGCGGTGCTTGTCGTCGGCTGTGGCTGTGCTGTGGTCTGAGTGTGAGCTGGTGCCTGTGTTTCTGCGTAGTTGTTCGTGGTGGTGGTTGTTGGGTGCGTTTTGGGGTAGTCGCACACTGGTGTATCCAGGCTGCAGGTCTTCGGTAAACTGTGTAGCTTGTTTGGCACGCATTCTGTCGCAAATGATAAAGTACGTCGTGTAATATATTCGTTACCGCTAATTTTGCGTTAGATTGGACGTCTGTACACTATGTCGTCTATTTGGCACGCCCCGTGTCGCAAACGACAGAATACGTCCTATATTATAATTTTCTTCTATGCCTGATTCCATACCATGTGTTGTGTCATACTCTACATCCATTATAGTCGAATGATTAGACATAAACCTCTCTAATACGCAGACTCTCTCAGGCTCATAATATAAACTGTACACAGTATCACCCCTTTCTGGCTCAATCAGTACTACCAAACTAAATGACTCTCACACGCGCATACCATGAACTGCACAGTATCAACCACCTCAGGCTCAATCAGTACTAGCACACGACATTCAGGCCTGTCGTATGTGTATATCCGTGTGTCTCACACATAAAAACATCACTGGATGTATGTGTCATACACCACTAATGAATGCGCACATACTCGTGTAACCATGGCAACAGCACAGGATGTATTATTATACACCACTAATTAATGCGCACAAACTCGTGTGACATGTCATACTCTCATTTCGCGTGTCATGTAATTTACAGATAGACTCGTGTGACATGTCATACACTCATTTCGCGTGTCATGTAATTTACAGATAGACTCGTGTGATATGCCATACACTCATTTCGCGTGTCGTATAATTTTCAGATAGACTCGTGTGACATGTCGTGCCGTGTGAGGTACACTACATTAGCCTGTGTATTATAAGAAGTACACTCATCTCGCACCCCAATGCAACACATGGCTGTGTATATGTCTACACAGATAATGTGTGACTTATGTGTGCATATGAGCACAGTCTCAATACAGTTGTTCACACGTGCATGAGTGTACACAAACACTTAGACGCACACATGCACAGCCCAAAACGTCCACACCTGAGGGGGACCTTCTGTTCTATTCTTAGACTCTCCAGAGCCTTCTTGCGCTTGTCGTTTTGTGCCGCGATCTCTGTGATGCGATCGAACACATGCACAAAGGAACCATCCACAGAGGTAATCAACCTGTACAACGCAGACAGCCAACAGCCATGGTAAGACGCATTACCAAATATGGATCGATTCTGACCATATATAGGAGGAGAACTGCCATATATGGGACGAGGGCTACCATATATGAGATGAGCAGTATCGTCCACGCGATGAGCATAAGTCATGAGTGACGTAATCGACTTCGCGCTCAAAAGAGCCGTTACGGCGGTCACTAATCGGCACGGCACTGGGAGCTGCTCTCACATACACTACCATATATGGTAATAAAATTACTATATACAGGACGACTAACATCATGTACATTCTTAAGTATGTACCCGTCAAGTGTTGCTGTGATTGGTCTTGAGCATAAAAGCACCACCAGTGATGGTACTGGTGTGTGAAGTGCGTCGACGCGTGTGCATGAATGAGCTTTGTACGTAATAAGCACTTGCCTGCCAGCACCCTACAGCCCAATACTGAGCGAAAATGTGAAGGTACACGTACGCGTACACGATCGAGTCATCTAAAACACAATTTTGTACTAAGCATTCTGGACCACACAGAGTATGCAGATCACAGACTGCCACTGCATACAACTATACGAGTATGTGTGTAAGTGTCAAATGTATCACTTACTTGTCGGCCAGCAACACAATGCCGAACTTCAGTGTTGTTATGGAGATACGACGAGCACGGTGAGCCGCGGCTGTGGTTGCGTTGGTGTCAGCCTTCCGATTTCTAACCTCCATCTGATCGTGTGGTATACACATG